TTAACCTGGCGACCCCCATCATCAAACCAACGCTGGACACAAATAGACCACATAGCAATAAGCTATCGTTGGCGTGGGTCGGTAGGAGATTGTCGCTCCTTCTGGAACACGTGTGTAGATACCGATCACGCACTGGTCCGGGCTCGTGTGTGCTTACGACTGAACGGACGTAGGAAACAGCTGGCGGTAAAACCATCACGTCCCCAGCTCGATCAGGAAACTAAATCCCTATTTGAGGAAGAACTAGCTAAACGCATATCTGAATTCGACAGCTGTGCTCACCCTGGAGAAGCCTGGAAGAATATTCAGTCAGCTATAGATACAGCTGTAAAAGCTGTGAATAAGGCAAATCCAAAGGTGAGTAAAAACCACTGGATTTCGACTGCCTCATCCGAACTGATAGATGCTAGAAGACTTATTCCGGCGAGCTCCGAATTCAATGAGGAGCGAAAGCTGCACAAAAGGAAACTTACTAAAAGTCTCCGCAAGGACCGTGAACAGTGGTGGGTGACAAAGGCAAAAGAGATGGAAAAAGCATCGGCGATAGGCAACACTAGGCAACTCTTTAGACTCATCAGGGAAACGGGTGGGAGAAGGCAAATCATAAGTGAGACTATTTCTGAGAAAAATGGCTCCTTAATTAGCTCTCAGGATAGACGCCTTGAACGCTGGAAAGAACACTTTGAGGGACAATTTAACTTGCCTACAGCCACACTGAACCTCCCCGACATCCACACACACCCGAATGGGATATAGACACTGGTCCGCCGTCTGTAAGTGAGGTCACAAAAGCTATCAGTAATTTGAAACGAGGCAAAGCGGCAGGACCCGACGGAATTATTCCGGAGGTGTTTAAATATGGGGGTGACATACTAGTTTGTAGATTAACTGAGGTACTAGGCAAAGTCTGGGAATCAGAGACAGTGCCATCAGACTGGGGTAAGTCACTTATTATACCGATATTCAAGAAGGGAAACAAGTCCTCGTGTGATAATCATAGGGGGATCAGCCTAACGAACATAGTCTCTAAAATCCTAGGCTCAGTAATCATGCATAGACTAAGCAGAACTCGGGAGGAACAGACAAGGGAAAATCAAGCAGGCTTTAGACCAGGTAGAGGGTGCATAGATCATATCTTCACTCTTCGACAGATTCTAGAACATAGACACACTTTTCGGCGTCCAACAATTGTCATATTTCTTGACTTGAAGGCGGCCTTCGACTCCGTGGATCGAAAGGTACTATGGCAATGTCTGACTGTGAAGGGAGTGCCAAGAAAGTACATTGCACTAATCAAGGCACTCTATTCAAACTCACGTAGTCGTGTAAGGGCTTATGGGGAATTGTCATCTGAATTGGTAACAACCAGTGGTGTCCGACAGGGATGTCCACTTTCCCCATTTCTGTTTAACTTCATCATAGATATGCTGATGGAAGTATCCTTAACTGAACGTAATGACTTAGGAATCGACTTGTTACCAGGGAATAATCTTATGGACTTAGAATATGCAGATGACATAGTCCTGTTAGGGGAGGATGCTGACAAAATGCAGAGTCTTCTGAACACCTTGAGCAGCAATCTTCGTATGTTTGGCATGCGATTCGCCCCTGCAAAATGTAAGATGCTGCTACAGGACTGGACCACGTCAACTCCTAACTTAGTGATAGGGAGTGAAGTGATAGAACATGTTGACCACTTCACCTATTTGGGAAGTTGTATTAGCACCAACGGACTGATTGGCGATGAAATCTCAGCACGGATCCGAAAAGCTCGAGCTGCTTTCGCTGACTTACACCATCTCTGGCGTAGGCGTGACATCCGGTTATCAACCAAGGGACGTGTGTACTGCTCATCAGTTCGCTCCGTCCTTCTCTATGGCTCTGAAACATGGCCAATACGCGTTGAAGACATGAAAAGGTTGACTGCTTTCGATCATAGATGTCTGCGATCTCTGTCTCACGTTAGGTGGTTTAATAAGGTAAGTAATGTTGACGTTAGGCGTAGAGTGTTGGGCAAAGAGGGAAAATCAATCGACGAGGCTATAAAGTTACATAGACTAAGATGGCTAGGTCACGTGCTGCGCATGCCTAACCACCGCCTCCCCCGACGGGCATTGCTAGCTGATATAGGTTCAGGTTGGAAAAGAGCCAGTGGTGGCCAAACAAAAACATGGCATCAATCCATGAAATCCTTGACAGTTAAACTGAGTCAGGTAGGGAGATGCAGACTTCCGGGTTGGGGCCCTCGGGACTCTAGGAATCAATGGCTGGAGACAATAGGTGACATGGCTCAAAATCGTTGTCAATGGCGCGCAGATGTATTCAGTCTCTGTAATCTTTCATATTCCTTTCTACCATTACCCATTCTGTTTCACTCTTATACTTGTCAAACTCTATTGATTCTCTTCACTCATCTTCTTGTCTACCTCTGTGTGCTATTTGGAACGTGGCAACTCGAACTGCTGCACTTCGGTGCCAAGTTCTATGTTGAATCCAGACAGACAGACAGTTGATATATGTGTAAAACTTTCACTGTGTGATACATCTAATAAACAAATTAATATGGAATGATCTTCAGTTGCCTCTTTACAGAGCTTAAAAACGGAAATATTAAGTTTATATGCTAGGGGAAAACTTAACAATCATCTAAAGTTAGTGATGATTATCGAAAGCTATCTGGGAGTTATATTCAGAGTATTGTAGGGCCATTGTTTCGTTTTGAGAATATATATGACCTTATGCAAGCTAGTCAGTGTGTGCATCCTCATTTTGACTGGCTCTCGTATCACTCAAAACCGAAGGCAATTTAAACACGACTTATTGACTGCGAGTATTGATAGACAGTTAGAATAAACATATCCTTGGTTCTAGACAATACCTAACATTTATACAGGCTTATTAAGAAAACTGACCTGCCTAAATAACAGCAAGGTTCACACCAAAAACTAGGTGTTTCTGAACGCTAGGCACTGGAAGCGACCGGATATTGAACTGCTCAACTGGCTTACAACCATAATTCTACTTTTCACCAAATGTCCTCAGTGTAAACAATATGCTTATATCTATCCTCCCATTATAGTGAAGATGCAAATCACCTTTTGGAATCAAAAATTAGACTAAAAGAAAGTAGTCGACCGTATATCTTAAGAATTCGTTAACAATAGTGACCAAAAGATTTTGATTACAGTACCTGAGGTATGAGTTTGTGCGAATGCAGTAATAGTGGTTCCAGTATATTACTATAGATAATCAATAACTTTAGTTAACAACAAAGAAGATAAAGTTGAAAATGTTGGAAATATTTTTAGTTAAAAGTGTGAGTGTTAGGTCGAAAGTGTACTTGGAGATTGCCTTTCTAAGTACTGAACTTCCATTAAAGTCATTCCATTTTTCCAGTGTGAGTTAAGAATGTTCTCATTTGCACATTCGTAAGAGGCACCAACAATAAATAAGTCTTCTGGTCATAACTATGCAAAAGTTTCCATATTAGTTTGATTATTAAATGTATCACACAGTGAAACAGTATTGTATACTGGATGACGTTTCGAACACAATTTATTGTTCATAATCATATCAATTTTTGTCACACGACTTCGAGATTTGATTTTTATAGTTTTCTCTGTTTTCTCATATTTGTTGTATGTATACAACAAATATGAGAAAACAGAGAAAACTATAAAAATCAAATCTCGAAGTCGTGTGACAAAAATTGATATGATTATGAACAATAAATTGTGTTCGAAACGTCATCCAGTATACAATACTGTTTCACTGTGTGATACATTTAATAATCAAACTAATATGGAATTACTTAATACCACAGTGCCCAAGTTTTACACATATATTAATATGCAAAAGTTTCCTTTACCAGTGCCCTTTTTGAAGAATTTAGGGGTTGTTTTTGGAATCTGAGAACAAGCAAATGTCAAACATGATCACAAGAATAACTCCGCCTTCTGTTGTATCTAGAATACTAGGAGATTTGTGTTAAACTACTCATTTGTCTCTAGCACCCCAAGAAATACACCCGGTCTCCGGCGCCAACAGTTATTTCTTTGTTTCTGACTCTATAAAGACTCTTCGACAGTTTGTGATAGCAGGGTGTAGAAGAAGACTGACTATTCTGTCCCTTTTTGTCATCATTCAGAGGCTTATTATCCCACTTACTTATAGACAACACTTGGTGTATTCCTGTTAAGCAAATAAATAGAGCATGTTGAAGCAACAAGCCATGAATTTGTATGTACATCATTTGTTCATTTGCACTTGTTAAAAAAAATATAAAGCTACGAGACTTATTAAAGATATGCAGTAAATGTGTTGCGTATGCTTCACATCCCATTTATATTAGAAACTTTATCAAGTATTAACATTTAGTACTTAAGATTTCAAAAGAACTTATTAGGTATAATGGTAATCTACTAAAGGTTAGCTATCTTTGGTCAAATCGAAATGCTCTGGAACAAAAATAATTAGAGTCTCATAAACGTGGCTCTTGGTAAATTCAATTTTAAAACCGTGTCACTTATGATCTTCAGTCGTCGATTTATGTTTTCGTTTAAATTTTGAAGGTTTTTTATGACTCCGTTAATTTCCTTCCGAATAAATCCCCACCAGTTGTGCCCGTACACTAATCGTTATGGTTTCTCTTGGGACTGTAGCCGTCTTCCGAAATATTTTCTTTTAGGATATTGTGCGACGTATATACACTGCTTATCCTCATCATAGCTGTTAGAACTTGTGTTATCAATTAATTGAATCAGTCTACTTCTAATGAATGTTTATGCTTACTCCGACGTTCGCCTCCCACTCAACCGTTTTGTTTACCTACACTTTAGAAGTGTTCAACAACCAACAAAAGTTAATGGTATTATAGTTTCCTGTGTTTTAAAATTAAACTATGTGAAAAACCATCCGAAGACCTTGGATATAATAAAAAAATTAATTAGCTAACCTCATTACAGGAAACAAGTCTGCTCTTACAAGAATTTGTCACTGACATGGAGCGAAGTACAGACAGTCAAGAAGAATCTAGTTATCAAGACCAAACCTATTATGAAGGACTAGATGGTTCCTTGCAGGATCATGATACAGACTATCAAACTGGAGATATCGAACAGAGGTCACCACTTCGGGAACAAGTGAGTTTTGTCACTATATAATCTAGACGTTTCAAAGGACCGATTTCTTCCAATAGCAAACGTGGCGAAAATTATGAAGAGAGCTGTACCTGGAAACGGAAAAGTATTCTATTTTAAAATATCCTAACATATTTTTGAACTGTTCTGTAGATTGCTAAAGATGCTAAAGAATGTGTGCAAGAATGTGTATCCGAATTCATTAGTTTCATCACTAGCGAGTGAGTATTCTTTAATGTATTAACCATTACCTATAAATAAAGAGCAGCAGATAAATGTCAAACGGAAAAGCGCAAGACTATCAACGGTGAGGATATCCTATGTGCAATGAATACTCTAGGTTTCGATAATTATATTGAACCACTGAGGGCATTTTTGGTCAAATTTCGAGAGGTGGGTATGCCTAATTTTACTTTATCATTAGTTAGTGTTTCATATGCAGACAGACAGGTTGCCAGAATTTGCCTATGATACAGTCCTGTAGTCGTGGTTGGTCGCTGTCGCATTCTTTATCAGTCTTCTCTCACAAAATGTAATTCTTAGTAGTGGAGCATATCTTATCACGCTTTGTTATTATCTTCACCTAGAAATTTTTCTGGTTTAGTAGTTGGCTTACTTACCATTCAAGAAGACTAACTAACTAACTAACTAAAGAGGATAAGATTTATTGGTTTATAAAAATGCCAAATAGGACTAGAAAATACAGTTGATTTTATAGTTATCTCACATGACTAATAAATTACTAGTTTAAGATACGAGAAATAACGTTTTGATTGGTCGGGATGTACCAATAAGAAAAAAAATCCAATGACGTGACCTTTTAATCTACGTTACGGTCACGTAGGCAAAACTGAATCATAATATGTCTACTGACCTAACAGTTGTGTACTACATTTCAATTCTTGAGAATGCGACAAAGTATGAGCCAAAAGATACACTGATTCTCTTACATTTTTGCTTAACAGGCATTTGAAGAGCTAATTAACTCAATTTGTACTCATTACACATATTCTGAATATAAATATTATGATTACTTAGTGTGTGTATATATACAGGACGAAATTGTGATATAAACTGTTAGCTTTGTAAGTATCCACTAATTATAAATGTCTTGAATATGAAGTTTCAATGACAGCTGAGAATAGTTAGCAGTTTCGTTTCGTTTTAATTCCCTTTGATAGATTAGCAAACTTGAATCCTCTTTCATCGATGAATCATCTGCTGCCAGTACAATGTCTACAGTTTCCCCAGCTGTTGGTTCAACGGTAATCTTCGCTCCTACGCTATTATCAACCAGCACCAGTAGTCTGACAAGTATATCGTCACGACCTCTTCCTGGTAGGCAGTATACTGTTGTTAATGGATCGAATGATATTGAGCATAACAATATACACTCCATATCAACTTCAGATATTAAAGTAGCAAATGCAGCAATGGCCGCCCTGGGTACTCCTGTGTCTACATCTTTGGGGACAACAATAATATTGCCTATATCAGCTCCTGTAAGTTATACTATTAGATCCAGTTTTTACGTTTCACTACCTTTGTGTACTATACTTTACTCGTGACTTTTGAAATAATTGTAATTAGATGTGGAGAGTGGTATTTAATCGACAGCAGATATCAAGCTTGTTGACTGTTGAACCTTTAAGATATTCATTTTCCATCTGACATTCAAACTTACTCCACTCACTGGTGAAGTCAGGAATTTTACATTGAATTATCTGGCGGATAATCTTCAAGAAGTACAGTAGAGCTCGAAAGGTATATGTTGTATCAGCAGTAATACTCGATTTGGATTCGTTCTTGCTGTTACTTCAGCATACGACAGTACAAAACTATTCCCACAATGATAAAGACAGAAGATTGACTAAGAAAGCAGAGATTTATTACTAGAAAATGCAACTAAGTATAAAGTCACTTTAAATAGCCAATAAATTACTAGTCTATGGTCTAAAGACTGTTTTGATTGGTTAGGATGTACCAATAAAAACTCGAATTACCTGACCATTTAATCTGTTTGACGGTTACTTGATAAACATTGAACCATAATATGTCTGCTTCTGTCTTAACAGTTTGAAAATATTCAGTCACGGTTCTGTGAGTAATATCAAGTCATTAAGTAAGAAAATTGTTCATTAGTGGTTCAAGATGAGTTACTCAACTCCTCAAAGGAGAATTTTTCCTCATATAATAGTAATGCGTAAATAAAAACAGGTTGATCAAAATCCAACCTATACTCAAAGGCTTATTATGTCGTAACACCTCAGAAGTAAACATTAAAGCCATGTGTTTCAGTAATAAAAAGCCTCAGGATGGTCGGGGGTGGGTGTCTTGCGCTGCGGGTTGGCCACCCCTCCGTACACCTCTTGAAATGCTCCCATATGACCGGGCGTCTTACATAGCCTCTCCTGAGGAAGTCCTACTCACTGCCTTCACGTGGCGGAGGTGTTTTTCACCAAAGTGAGAGGGCAAAAGCGGATGCCCGGCGCTCTTCACCGGGTTGACTGTCCATTGGATGACAGTCTAGGGGAGATGGCTAAATCCTGATTCCAAACCTCCAACGACTGGCGTATGAAGCTCACCGGCAGACGTTTGGACAAAGGGCTTATTGGATGCCCTGGATGACTGGCCCCATTCAAAAAGGCGAATGAACCGGACTCCGGTCACCGGCTGCCAATGGATAGTGGACTCCTTACTCCACTCCTACTGCCTTGTAGGTCACACTTGGCTGTGTAAAGGCTAGAGCTGCACTCTCAAACAAAAGGCCGAGCGATGCTGGGGACATCACTCGTACCAAATTCCCATGAAACTTCATGGTTTATGAAGCCGGCTCATCCTCCCGTAGGAGATAGCCGAAGTAAAGTAAAGTAAGTAAGTAATAAAAACTGCAGGATAACATGTAACATTAGTAAAATGTAGATATAACTTGTATACACTGTAGGGAATGTAAGGGTGCCGTATTTACTCACGTACACATTGTAATTTTTCTAACGAACACTTCCATCTGACGAGACTAGCTGTCTCCGACCACAGGTGTTTCTCCTGTGTTAAGTGGTATACTATGGTGAGTAGTATTAAGGTTAGGTGTTGACTATTACGTTAGAATGGTAAGACAGTTGATGAGTTTTCGGGTATGAATCGATTGAGATGGCTTGGACACGTATTGCTCATGCTTAAGCCAGCGTCTTCCTCAATGGGTGATGTTAACCGACATAGGGTTAGGCTGCAATAGAGTTAGGAGTGGTTTAACCGAAACCTGGCATCAATCCACTAAGTCACTAATTGTTTGCTAAAACCACGTAGAGAGGCGTAGACTACCTTGTCAGGGTCCCAGAGATGCTAAGAATCAATGATTTTGAGACCATCAGTGCTGGATTTGATAAGGAGTTCAAAGAATTGTATATTGAAATCCTCACTGTTCACTATAACTCTTCCCTACTATTGATGACATACTTCTCATCCGATGTTTCCACCTCATTTTTCCCGTCGTCTGTCTACTTTTCCTAATATACCTCCTAACTTTATTCCAAAAGTCTAGTCAATGAGTTACTATGAGTCTAAAAATGAATTTATAATTTCAATTGGTACATCTGTTTAAAAGTTACAAATATCCATAAACGGGTGTGTTGTGTTCGATGACCATTACCGGTTTCGCTGGTTGAAAATCGAACGTTAGATTAAAATATGCATGACAAATGAACCAAGGCTTTCTAGGTAGCTGCATTCCTGTGGTTCGGTTATCGGTGATTGAATAGTGATCGATATTTTTGTTAGAACAGGAGGAGAAATAGCGGTCTAGAGACTAGACATTTGGAATAACCAATAAAGTCCATAATCAGCTGATTGGTTCTCATGTTACGCGAAATCTACCAATCATCGTAACCGTCACATGGCGAACCTGTTGATTGGCAGATTTCATTTTACCAATCAGATAACTATGGTTTTCATCCACTGACGGCATTTGATCGTAACCTTGATTATAATGCCTCGTTGTTGAACTTTATTGGTTAGTCCTGACCAGTCAAAAAAGTGGTCATGTCACATTAGCAATTGATTGGTCATGTGAAGTAATTATATAATTAACATAAAAATAGCACTCTAGTAGAGTAATTTTATTTGAAAAAACCACAATTTATTATAAATTATTTGAATTAATCCCAGCGTGTTAAGAAAATCGAAACAAGATTTTTCTGAACGTTTCGCTGTGTAAGCCACAGCTTCCTCAGCAGATTTATTCGGATTTATATTAATTATCAAAATATATAGTCAATATATAGTTTTAAGTTTAAACAAAAAATATTTAGCTCAAATAGAAAAAGTATTTGCGTAATAGACACAAGAGGTTGATAACATGGTAACTGATAAGTTGTTTTACAACGTAATGCGTTCAACTGTAATCACAGAAACACACCAAAGAAGCAAACTTACATTGTAGTGCAAGCAAAGAGGTTAAAAGCAAAGATTGTCTAATCAGATAAAAGGGAGAGTACAGAGTACAGGGAAGACTGTTAACTTCTTCATTCTAAACAGGTGTTTGGTAGTAGTTGGATCGGCAAACTTGAGGAGAATTCAACTACATTATCTGTTGATAATTTTAAGGGATTTTATATTGTTCACCACATGACTGGTATCTACGAGATGTCTGGCAACAGTATTATAGAAAGCATTTGTTTCCTGGAGACGTTTGCTTTCTCGTACATGGTCAGGAAATCAAAGTTGTCCCCTTCTTTCCGTCCTCCTTTGCAATTCCTTTTCACCCCATGATTTGCTTGGAGCTTAAATCTTCACATCTTCAGTGCTCGTTAATTAGTTTATGAAGGTGTTTATTTATTATTATTTTTATTTATTTAAACGCATAAAAACTTGGTACAATATGGCACCAAGAAGGATGCGCCACACAATAATAATAAAACAACATAGATCAAAAGAAAAAAAAGAAAGAAGGGAAATATATATATATATATGAGTAGAGAACGGATAAAGAACTTCATCTGGAAGGAAAACAGTCATGCTTAACAAGTTCAAACAGTATTGGTTAACTATCATCGGGAAGGGAAGAAAGAAGAAAATTGCAACACGTGTAATAGCATGCGATAAGTTTCATTGATTGTTTGTTGCTTTATTCAATTCATTGTGTGAGGGCTGAGATACTGTCCGGGCGCCCAGACCGAAGCAGGTGGTTTTATTAAGGGACCACACCCCGAGCCTTTGACTTGGATTCTAATCCGAAAGGCAGCGGAGCAGCGTCAGGAGCTCCATTCCCATGGTTTCCGGTGACCCATATGGGTTCATACGCCATTTGATCCAATTGGATACTGGAGTCCCTGTACCCCATGGTAACTGCTTTTAGTTTAACCGCTATCCAAACAACCTTCCTGACATGGTAGGATATGTAGGGACATGAGTCCCAGTCAGTTTAGCATGTTGGGTCATTGCGGTATTCAAGCCCGACCACCACGACAAGGTAGCAGTTATCGGCCGGAAATTAGTTTATGAAGGTGACCATTATAATTTTGACATCTTAACAATAAGAAATTCTTCTTCTAATTTCAAGTAAGAAAAATTTCTACGTCAGATAATGTAAATATTATTCCATTGTGTACTTTGTATCTCGTTTAATTCAAGATGTTCTCTTTTTTTATAACATAATCTATTTCGTTAGTTAGAATTTCTCTCTATGCCTTATCAATTTGGCTCCTTTTTGTGTTCATTTTTCGATGTAGTTAACATTTGTCAGTGGACCCCAACCCTCAGTCTCGTTAGCTGATCAGTCGAATAATTCAACCTCTTGATTTTTAGCAATAACAAATATGTGTATATCGTATGTGCTGATCTCTTTACACCTGTGTATTATCCATGTATGTATCTGCTTACTTTTTTTAATGTATGCAGCACTTGTCTTCATTCATTGTCCATATACAAAACATTATTAATTGACTTTTGGTCAGAATGTTTTTTTCTTCTTTTTTACTATTCAAAGTTTATTGTACTTGTCTTCTCACCCTGAAAAAAAGGGCATATATGTAAGCAGCACAATGTGAGTGCTTTCTTTTCAAAAATATTATTGATTATTTTTCTTTCTTCTGATAAACTTAATCAGTAATAATCACTAAGATGCTCACATATTACCTTTATAATATTTACAAACACTGGTATATATTAATGCCAATGCTGTTCCTAATATCATTGTCATCATTATCATCACCAGCATTGGTGCATTATGAGAATTTCCAATGCTGCATATTGTTTTTATTGTCAATATTATATGCTATCCTGAATCATTGACTTGAATCATTAATTCATTGTTTATTCCTACAATTGCTGACGAATGTTGTTTTTATTTCCTTTATTACCCTCCCCCTTCACACACAGATACACAGTTTTATGGATTACTCGCTCTCCTGTGTGTGTGTATGAATGTATGTATGTATGTATGTATGTATGTATGTATGTATGTGGGGTATCTGTTGTGACACAGATGCCCACCTATTCATCAAAACACTACTTTTACCATTTCTAAATGTGATCATACTAACGAAATCGAATAAAAAAATAGGCTTTTCTTATTCCTCTTCATTTCAGCACAACAAAACATTTTTGATACATAATATATTGACACAACACCCTATGTTTACCTTTTAAAAGTAGCTAAATTGGTTTTCATCCTTGTGTTTCATTCTCCCCCTCACCCCTCGTTCCCTCCCTCCATCCTTCATTTTTGTACTTTCTTGTTGTCATTGTTTCTCTGTAATATACTTACATACATACATGTATACGCACTCATAATATAATATCTGTATATGTTGATAAATAATTGGCTTTAATTGATATACCTATATATGCATATAATATATCCTATAAAATAATAATTCGTTTTATGTATATTCACAGAGAATCAAATATTGTTTTTCACTCTCTTTGGGGGTTATTTTTCTCTGCCTGATTTTGTAAATTATTCACAATCATATTAGTATGCTTTCAATATTGTGTGATTCTTCGTTCTTAAACATTTGGCGGTAATAAAGGTAAGTTATATAGTGAGTGGCAGTAAAACTGTGCGGTTTTCTCTGAGCTAATTGTAGCACAGAAGTCTGCATTTAAAGATGACATCCCTTGGAAGACAATCTGCTCAGTCGGATGTCAGAAATACTGATAGTGTTTTTATTACGAACTGCTAACAATACTAAAGAGACAACTAATATAAAAACCAGAGTGCTTATCTCAGAGACGCTATGTTTTCAAAGGGTAAAGCATGACTGAACTGCGAAATCGGTCCAGACTAGTAGATGCCAGCCACTCCAGCTTTCATGATATTTTGTGGGATTTCATCTATCACATGATTGACACTTATAAAAATTAATTGAATGAATTTTTCGAATACTCGTAGCGTTTCACTTATTACGGTGACTGCACGTACAGGCTAACGGCATTCATACAGAAGTACTTTGTGCTTAGACGACGCAAAAAGCTAAAATGAATTATTACAACTATTACTGGCTTGTGATACGTGTGTTGTAGCTAGTGATGGATGGTGAACATATACCGTCAGCGCACCCACAGACAACGAAATTCGGCGTACTCTTGCGATTTCTGCGACAAACTATAATAACCAGTGTGTGTGACACAAATTTTAACTACCTCGCAGCAAACTGGACAATATTTGGTAGAACTCATCCTTTATTTCGTCCGAACTACAGTTGGCTGGGGCGGATATTCTCAAAAGACATCCACGGGTAACTTAGAAATGATGGAGTAGATTTGTACCTCAGGTGGATCATTTTCATGTGCTTGTGTTCTATGAGCTGGATAGTTCATTTGCGAAGCTTTCATTGCCCGGTGACCTTGGACGTGATTGGTTGCTTTTGTGTGTTTTCACACTGTCTAGGCTACTTGTATTAGAATTGATTGTTTCTTCGACTTGAACTTTGACCCTTTGTGTGTGAGGTTTCTTTCTTATCGGTTGGCAAATTTTGTCTATCTTGATGTGTTTATTGATTGACGATTTACTGGAATACCAGGCTTCTAAAAATTCTCTAGCGTTCTTGTTGTCTCCTCTGTCTAATATTTGAACGTTGTCCCAGTCGAACTGGTGACCGTGGTTGTCTGTATGTAGTGATATGAGGGACTGGATATCATGTCTTTTGACGGCTAGCTTATGATCCTGGATACGAAGATGAAGGGGACGTCCACTTTGGCCAATGTAGTGTTTTTTGCAGTTGTTGCAATTTATTTTGTAGATGATGTTCGTTTTATCTTTTTTCACTTTTGAGTCTTTTGGTTGACATAGAATTGAGTGAAGTGACTTTGTTGGTTTGCGTACGACGTCGATTCCTAAAGGTTTGAAGAGTCTTGTGGTGATTTCCGAGATATCCTTTGTATATGGTAAGGCGATTTTCTTTGTGCTTTCCTTGGTGGCTTTTGCTTTGGTAGGTTGGCTTGGGGGTATATGTTTCTTGATGAAATTCCGTGGATATCCATTCTTTTGGAAGACATCCATGAGATATTTTTCTTCAATTTTCCCTAAGGTGAGAGTGCTACGATGAGTCCTTGCTCTCTTGAATAGTGTTTCTATGAAATTCCTTTGAGTGTGCATCTCCGTACACTCCTAAAGCACGACAAATCAGTTGTCCAGTGCCGCTTCATTTGCATTCCATCTCCAGCTGATCTCAAGTCATGATGAGGTCTTCGTATCCAGGAACATAAGCTAGCCGTCAAAAGACATGATATCCAGTCCCTCATATCACTGCATACAGACAACCACGGTCACCAGTTCGACTGGGATAACGTTCAAATATTAGACAGAGGAGACAACAAGAACGCTAGAGAATTTTTAGAAGCCTGGTATTCCAGTAAATCGTCAATCAATAGACACATCAAGATAGACAAAATTTGCCAACCGATAAGAAGGAAATCTCATACACAAAGGGTCAAAGTTCAAGTCAAAGAAACAATCAATTCTAATACAAGTGCCCTAGACAGTGTGAAAACACACAAAAGCAACCAATCACATCCAAGGTCACCAGGAGAGGTGATTAATAAACTCGTGGAGAAATCTAAAAACTCACTTCAAATTGAAGTATGCACTGAAGATGTTTCCCAGTAAGGCAATGAAAGCTTCGCAAATTAACTATCCAGCTCAGAGAACGAAACCACATGCAGTACAGGTAACTGAGTCCTCCCCTCATTCTAACGGGTCAGTTTATATGGGCTGCACACATACAATCATCCAATAGGATCCAGTCGAATAGAGACTTTTCTGTCTTAATACTGAATGCTATTCCTATCTCTGCGAGTCCTCACGAACTAGCCAAATAATTTCCTGAAATGAATAGGGTGAACTTTGCATATTCAGCCTGTTAGCTAGCTAGAGTTAAGCGACTAACGACACTTGGGTGTTTTATGCCTGTCTCCATCGTTGGAGATGCTAGAGTTCTAGCTAGTGGTGTCTCTTGTCCGATTTAGCTAAAGGCCTTGACGTTAAGTGCTATAATATGAAGTTAGCAGTGTTTTCCCGGCTCTCATCGCTATTACTGGTCACAGAGTAAAGAGATGGGGGACCAGCCTTTAGGGAACGATTAACAATAGGTGGAAAGCAAGACGATGGTGACGTAGATAAATGTGTGTGAGGATTAGCTTAGCTTCGTGTGCTTTTCGAAGTGTTTGGGTAGCTGTTGCTTCACAGTTGTTGGCACCGTGGAAGAATCACTTCAGAAACTTCAAAGCATGAGAAACATGGAAATCAAACTTATTTTTCTCTGGAATCGAAGAGATGGAATGACATGGGCTGGTGAAAACCTTCAGGAAACCATTTAGCCAATGTTTCTTCTTTTACTGGAGACAAAAATAAGGGTCAGTACGCAGACTGTGCGAAGCCAGCTGGTAAGGCTTCCCAGGTTGCCGATGAAGTGAGAAGATACGGCATGGAATTACTTGGAATCTGTGGGATGGGCGCACACTCTTAAAGTAGTTGGCTCTCTACGGACTCCTGGAAACTAATAGAGGAGAGAGGGAAATCAATATAAATGAGGCTAATAAAAGATGGTCAAGAGAACCTAATGAGCAAAGAGGACGGATAAAGAAACAATGGGCTGACTACTTCAAAGGTCTTCTTGATCTACCATCACCTGCAACTCGTCCAAAAATAACACCAACAGCCATAGAATTGCCAGTGAACACCAATATCCCAAGAAAAGCACAAGTGTTGAATGCAATAAAGCTACTGAAAGCCACTCAGGAAGGCGACAGGAGCAAATGGAATTCCTCCGGAAGCACTGAGATCAGATCTAGAAACTGCAATGGATATGCAGACTTCACTATTGTAGGAAGTTTCAAACGAAGGTGAGGCACCTACTGGTTGGAAGAAAGACTACCTTTCCTTCTTCTTTCTACACTCATGGCTGTGACGTAATTTGGAAACTACTGCAATACTATGAATTGCCCCAAGTATTTATCAACCCCACTTAGAAGCCATAGGCTGATATTACATGCCAAGCAGTTCTCAAAGGAAACTCATTGAAGATAACAGTAATACAAGGCTACTTCCTATCAGCGATAATATTCCTGAATGTGATCGACTGCAGCATGCAACATGTCGTGGGGAGTGAGAAGATGGAGGATGTCCTGCCGACAAGAAAACTCTTGAAGATTTAGACTTCACGAATAGTTTGTTTGATGTTATATAAACAGGGCTTCTGTATCGTTCAAAGACTTAGCCTGCACATCACCTAAAGCATTTCCAACAGGTTGCAGACTTTCAACAACAGCTGTTTTCGCTCCATGGTGGAGATCAGGCGACTGGTCAGAAAGGATTAGCAACAAGGAACTCTGGGAATGAACCAACCAAGAACGTATCACCTAACAAATATGTATGGGGAAAAGGAGATCAGTTGGACATACTCTGAGGAGGCTTTTAATTGGCATAATGCGACAGGCGCTCTGATGGGACCCGAACGAGAAAATACGAGTTGAGTATCCGAGGTTGACCTGAAGAGGATCATATGAGAAGGAAATGAAAGCGTAATGGCAATTTTTGGGCCAGCTCAAAAAGACAGTGTAAATCAGAGTGAAATTGTGTTCGTCTGCCTAAGCTCTACGTTCTGCTAGGAACCCGAGGGAACAGCAATAAGCGTAAACGATTCTCAAAAAAATGTTGGATTATAAAAAAGATATTTGGATACCATTCTCTTTAATTTTGAATAGTGAATTGTATTTCGTGAACATATTGATAATTTTAATTAACTCGATATGTCATGCTCACGTCATATACACCTGGAAAACTAATATATACGTTCATCCTATCCTGATAAGCTTGTTATTTGCAATGAGTCCATCTTTAATTACAGTCACTCATAAAAAGATGTATTGTAAAATATTAAGATAATATGATTTTAATTTATGCATTCACTTTAATTTTCAAGTGTTAATTTGTGGAGATTCGACTAATTTCGCTTTAGATTACGGATTGACATTAGGGAAAGGATCATCGAAAATCAGGGAGTATTAGACAATTGTTTTGTCCTTGCTGGGGACTTTTCAGCAGTACGCACCCATGACCCTACCAGAGATCGGACCCTATGACCGCCAGGTTACGAGACAAGTCGTAATGAGTAGATGTAGTGGACACTGAATGCCAACTTTTATGAAGTTGGAAGCATAACAACGTAGAGATGTTTAGTTTTTTTTTCACTAGCTTTGATAACTCATAATTGTTTTATTATCGCTATGCAGAATGTATCTCCCTTTGTCAGAAAATAGCTCACCTTATATAATCATTTATATTTTGTCGTTGATTCTTCGTGTGTCGAGTGGAATATAGGGGAGGGCTGCAACGAGACATCTCCATTCCACTCAGTTTCCTGCCATGACTTCTATCTGATCCCACAATATTTCATTTCTGCTTCACTACATGACCTTCTCTGTGTCACTCAGAATCATATCGAACTCGTTGTCCTCCAAAATGATTTCGCTCGAGAGCCTGTATTTAGTTATTCAGCATTCTGAGGGGAACATAGGAATTCAGGCTTCAGCTTCAAACTTTCAGGAGAGCTGATGTTTTTACAAGGTGATGCTGCTAACCTCATACATAATGTTTTTTCCATAATGAGATTACTAGTAGTAGTGCGTTGGCCGGGCAATTACAACTTGTACAGATTTTCAGAAATAATTTGTCAGCATCGTTTTATATCTCAAACAGGTGAACTCAACACCATAATACTGTATGTATACCTTGAACTCTGGAGAACATGTATTGAAAACAACCCAGAAAAACGAAACAAACATTCCAATGCAAAAGATATATATATATTCAACTCCTTTATAACAGATAACAGCTTGGCAAAATGGCTGTAATTATTTCCTCAAAAAAAAAAATGAAAATTTAAACACTGTAACTGCTTTTCTGAAATTAATTTTTACCCAATTGCCATTACAGAAAACAGATATCAATATAATTGTTTCGCTTTGGTATGTTTATTCAAATTAACGGATCTTATTCCACTGTACCATATTTTTGTGTTGATGTTGCTGAATTTTGTATAATATCTGGTTTTGAAACAGGTGATTTTTCTTCTTGTCGACCACTTTCATCGCTTAAATCAAATTCTACATTATCATAACCTTGCTGTTGTTCATTAGCCGGTTTAACAAGCATATAACCACGGCCACCAACTTTAGCGCTTATCTTCACGCGTATAAAATAGATTATATAAAGTATTATCTATATATCAACATGAAATGATAAAAACAAAAAAAATGGGAGAAAAGCATTAATTAATCTCTTACATGAAATTATTCAATAATTCTGTTATGTAATTTATAAATTAACAAATCTCATCCACAATCTGCGTCGGTGGCACAGTGGTAGAATGCCCACCAACCACGCATGTAGTACAGGGCTTCGATCCTCAGCCGACGCACTCCTTTACCTCGCTAAGCCAGCAATAAATAAAGCTGGTAAAGAGGAAAGCTTAGGCATGAGGTTAGCAACCCCATTCTGTAAAAATAAACACCACTGCTACCGAAACTTCAAGCCTCTAGCTTGAAGCCCTATTTTCCGTTGGGGACGTAAAGAAATTTTAAAAAATGTGTTAATTAACAAATCTCATCCGTAAATTTAAGCTATGCATAGTTTAAGTGTAATGCCTTTATTAATTGACTCGAAACATGGTAATATTTACTCCCTAGTGACTAGTCAATGTACTGAGTACAATTCTAAAGGAGATCAATCGTGAGACCGAATATCTCAGTGTTCATATCTCTGAATGCAACACTTTTTGACATTAGTTTGATTCTCCATAGGGATATCGATCCCTTCGACATTTCCAGTACGCCTTGCTGATGAGTGCCAACAAGCATGAGATCTACATTCACAATTTCTTACCTGTCGCTTCAAAAATTTAAAGTCATTTAGTAGTGTGCGACAATCATGAGTTACCTAGCTTGGTAAGCACCTCACAAAATTCACTAATATAATCCTGTCAGTACCTACATAAAGAATTAGAAAGATGACATTGTTTATTCCTTAGTTGCTAATCAAGGTACCTGACATTCTTCTTGCTTTTCTTTCTTAATGACCAATAGGTCATTAGAAAATATTTCTAGTATGTTTGGCTCTGATTTGTAACTTCTGAACATCATACGATTATAATATGCTCTAATAATAGATTTTGAATTCTAAGATTCAAAGTAATCCATGAGTTTAACTACTTCTTTTCGTTGATATAATATAAGGTTATTAGTTAAATCGGATTCACAATTTCCTAATTGTGATGCACTCATCTCCAAACAAGCAAAACGGACGTCCGGTGTTTGGACCACTTCGATAATCCGGTTAACAAGCTCTACTCTGGTTGCTGTGAATAGTATGCAATTAATTATGTCAATCAATGAGCAGTATGTAGTTTTATGAAGATGTGATTAGTATTTTAGGATTCTAGTTGAAATCTTCGCTGATTGACCGTCAGAATAAGTAAAAGCTGTTCCTTTCATCTAGCATACAGTATTTTTTTCCTTCACGTTCCCAGTGGAACATAGGGCTCCAAGCTAGTGGCTTGAAGTTTCTGTAGCAGTGTTTATTTTTACAGGATGGGGTTGCTAGCCTCATGCCCAACCTTTCCTCTTTACCAGCATTATTTCTGGCTCAGTGAGGTAAAGGAGTACGCCGGCCGAGGGTCGAACCCCGGACCATATGCATGGTCGGCGAGCGTCCTAACCGCTATACCACCGACGCACCAAAGGAGTTCGTCGGCCGGGGATCGAACCCCGGACCACATGCATGGTCGGCAGGCGTACAGTATAAAAAAACTAAATATAATAAGAGTTTATTTTAAAAAATTGTTTTGTCATTTAACTATTAAATGACTGTTATTTGGTTGATGATGACTAGCAGAGTAATCTAGGATGCACTATTCCTATCATTTGCGAGTAGGCAGTTAGATGTACCTAAAATCCTAGTGAACGACAATGTTCCAACTGAAATTTGAATCCACGCCTCATCGTTTTGAAAGCCAAAGCGCTATCTGCTGGGCTACGAGGGCCGCCATTTGTACAACAAGTACTAGTTGTTGTTTGTTTAGATTTATTTCAAAACTATTGGTGCTGTGCTTCAGTCTCAGTGAGAGCACCGCCATACACTGAGAATGCAGGTGAAGATTCTTAAATGGGACGAAATTCACACTAGAGTTTCTACTGCTGGGTGCTGTCGACCAAATGTTATCTATCAAGCATCAACAAAGTGCCTGTACTAGAAGCCGACATGTCAACAGAGATCGAACAAATCGGTCCTACATAAATCAGTCAACAGGAAATTCAAAATTAACTTGAATGAATAGTAAATTATCTTAATTGGTGGATGGTGACTAGCAGTGTAATCCAGAATGTGCATTTCGTCCTATTTGGGACTCGTCGCTTGGATGTACCTGCATTCCTCAGAGAGTGATGGTGTTCCCACCGAGGCTCGAACCCACTGCCCATAGTTTTAAATGCCAGAGAAGAAATATATTCCCTTTCAATTAGCTCCTCATCATCGGCTGGCTCTACACTAATATGTAGTTTTCCTTTTAGATCAGAATTATACCTCTCATGTGGTTATTATAATCCATAAGAACTGTCAGTGTTAAGTATAGAGAATAGAGGAGAAAATAAGAGGTTAAAGGTCATCAAAACAATTAACTAGTAGCTGTTACCAACAAGATAACTAAATTTTGAAGAAGGTGTGGAAATAATTATGGAATTCAAGATCAGTTAATTTTTAGGGGTTAGCAAAAAGTTATTATAAAATCAAGAAATTTGTAAAATAATGATGACAGATTATGGGACTGCACAAATTTATTTTAAACATATAAATTCTGCTTGTTCAGAGGAATTCCTATCGCCTCTGCTGTATGTAAAAGTCTTTAAGTTAATTCATCTGAACAAACTAAATCTGTGTATTCAAAATGAATTTGTGCAGGCGATTTCTGTGAATTCAACAACTTAATATGTATTAAGTTTCATAAGAGATTGTTCCTTCCCCGTATAACTATTTTTTATTTTACTATGTTCGCAATTCTAGCTAATTCAATTAACTTATTCGTATCTTAAGTAATTCTACTTAGTCATCATTATTTTACAAATTTCTTGATTTCACAGTAACTAGTTGCTAACCTGTATGAGTTGTTAACTGGTCTTGAATTCCATAATTATTTCCACTCTTCCTTCAAATCTTAGTTATCTTGTTAGTAACATCTACTAGTTAATTGTTCTGATGACCTTTGATCTCTTAATTTTACCCCCACTCCCACATACCTAAAACTGATTAACTAAAATAACCACTTGATTGATGTAAAAAAAACATATAATAGTATAGAGCCAGCCAATAATGAGGAACTAATTGACGAAGAACATATTTCTTCTCTCAGTCTGTTGTTCGCTTTTTCGTAACAAAATGTGTAAACGGGAATTTCAAACTATTATTGTAGGAACAGCTGTATACTGGATATACACCTGGACAACCTAAAAATAGTATCTGAAGTAATATCCTTATCCCTGTTACTAGACAAGCGGGTGAGATCTACTCGGATCTCCAGTTTTTCCCATTTAATTGATACTTGTAACTGAGTAGACGAAAAGTAATCATGCATAGACTAAGCAGAACTCGGGAGGAACAGACAAGGGAAAATCAAGGAGGCTTTAGACCAGGTAGAGGGTGCATAGATCATATCTTCGACAGATTCTAGAACATAGACACACTTTTCGGCGTCCAACAATTGTCATATTTCTTGACTTGAAGGCGGCCTTCGACTCCGTGGATCGAAAGGTACTATGGCAATGTCTGACTGTGAAGGGAGTGCCAAGAAAGTACATTGCACTAATCAAGGCACTCTATTCGAACTCACGTAGTCGTGTAAGGGCTTATGGGGAATTGTCATCTGAATTGGTAACAACCAGTGGTGTCCGACAGGGATGTCCACTTTCCCCATTTCTGTTTAACTTCATCATAGAAATGCTGATGGAAGTATCCTTAACTGAACGTAACGACTTAGGAATCGACTTGTTACCAGGGAATAGTCTTATGGACTTAGAATATGCAGATGACATAGTCCTGTTAGGGCAGGAGGATGCTGACAAAATTCAGAGTCTTCTGAACACCTTGAGCAGCAATCTTCGTATGTTTGGCATGCGATTCGCCCCTGTAAAATGTAAGATGCTGCTACAGGACTGGACCACGTCAACTCCTAACTTAGTGATAGGGAGTGAAGTGATAGAACATGTTGACCACTTCACCTATTTGGGAAGTTGTATTAGCACCAACGGACTGATTGGCGATGAAATTTCAGCACGGATCCGAAAAGCTCGAGCTGCTTTCGCTGACTTACACCATCTCTGGCGTAGGCGTGACATCCAGTTATCAACCAAGGGACGTGTGTACTGCTCATCAGTTCGCTCCGTCCTTCTCTTTGGCTCTGAAACATGACCAATACGCGTTGAAGACATGAAAAGGTTGACTGCTTTCGATCATAGATGTCTGCGATATCTTTCTCACGTTAGGTGGTTTAATAAGGTAGGTAATGTTGACGTTAGGCGTAGAGTGTTGGGCAAAGTGGGAAAATCAATCGACGAGGCTATAAAGTTAGATAGATTGAGATGGCTAGGTCACGTGCTGCGCATGCCTAACCACCGCCTCCCTCGACGGGCATTACTAGCTGACATAGGTGCAGGTTGGAAAAGGGTAAGTGGTGGCCAAACAAAAACATGGCATCAGTCCATGAAATCCTTGACAGTTAAACTGAGTCAGGTAGGGAGGGAGATGGAGACTTCCGGGTTGGGGCCCTCGGGACTCTATGAATCAATGGCTGGAGACAATAGGTGACATGGCTCAAAATCGTTGTCAATGGCCAGCGCAGATGTATTCAGTCTCTGTAATCTTTCATATTCCTTTCTATCATTACCCATTCTATTTCACTCTTATACTTGTCAGACTGTATTGATTCTCTTCACTCATCTTCTTGTCTACCTCTGTGTGCTATTTGGAAGGTGGCAACTCGAACTGCTGCACTTCGGTGCGAAGTTCTATGTTGAATCCAGACAGACAGAGAGACGAAAAGAAAGCATTTAAGTTAATTCAGATCAGTTCTTCTATACGTATCAGTAACTTGGCGGGTCACAAAAAATATTTCCAACGGCCTGTTGCAGACTTTTATCAACAACTGTCTTCTTCGCTCTATACTGAAGATCAGATGGCCGGGTCGGAAAGAATCACCAACAAGAAACTATGGGAACAAACAAGACAAGAACCAATCGCCCAACAAATATGCAGGAGAAAGTGGAGATGGATTGGACACTCGCTCGCTGAGGAGGCCGCTGGGTGACATCGCGCGCGCGTCAGGCCATCGGTTGAATGGAACCGGAAAGGGAATCGGCAAGTGGGACGTCAGTGCAAGGGTGACATGGAGGAGATCATGTGAAGAGGAGTTGAAACAGTATGGACTAACATGGATGCAGGTGATTAGTACAGCAGAAGCAAGTGGAGACGTGCAGTTGAAGCCCTATGTTCCACTAGGAACCCAAGGGAACAATAATAATAATAAGCTAATTTATGACATCCAGCCGAGTCCTTCTAATAACTTCCTGTTTTTTTATTACATATACCTGAGACTACAGATATTTGAACTAACAAATTCGGGTTTATATTAAATTAATATTCACAAACTTATATTTAACTAATTAAATCTCTTCCCCTTATATTTGTAATTTAAAAAAAATACATTTTATACCACCTTACTTGTCAACAACTATTCATATTCTTATCACAACTTTATTTCAATTCTGTATTTTTCGTTTTCTATTTACTTCCTTTGTACTTTAGTGTTATTCAATCTTATGATTTGTTTTTTTTTTATTCTTCTATGGTTTGATTTAAATTTTCCTTCTCCACCTTTTATATAATTATGCTGTTTGAATAAATCTTATTATCATACATTTCGGCATTAATTATCATTGTTACTATTTACACTATGACTATTAATAGCTGGTCTATAAACAACTGTCTTATCAAGGAATTAACACGTTTCGAGTTTATTTCTTTGCGAATTATATTTGTATTTAATCTACATTTCTGTCAGTTCAGCAGTCGGTATGAAAAGAAAAATGTTTTAGGTTTTTAAAAGAGAAACAAAGTTTACGGAACATTGATGACGTAAATTTTTGCAATCAAACAATGTTTAATATTTATTGCACACACTGGCAGCATGGTATGTAATGGCGATGTCTAAATATAGACAAAAGAAACACAAGCAGTAAACCAACGCATCGGTGGCAGAATGGTTAGGACTCTCGCCGACCATGCACGTGTCCCGGGGTTCGATTCCCTGTTGACGTGCACCTGATATCAGTGGTCGGCCTGCAAAACTGGGCTACCGATATCTATGCTGAAAATTCCATACTTGTACCAAAAATACGGTGTGGAATCAAAGTATCATCAAAAAAAAATTAAAAAAAAGTATGGTTAAGAAATCTGGACATTAGATAATGAAGTCCCTGATTATCTCTATTATTATTATTCCCTTCAGTTCCGAGTGGAACAATGGGCCACAGCAGCATAAGTTAATTCTACTTGGCCCTTTACAATCCTTTTTACCTGTTACCATGATTTCACATAAACCGTCATTTCCTAAAGACACGATTTCCTCCATTTCAACCTCAAACGCTCGACTAGTCGTTTTTGATTCGTTTTCCACCCAACAGTCTGACCGTTTCTCTCCAGGGTTTGTCCAACCCATCTCCATTTTCTTGGTGCCTATTTGTGGGGGCAATATGTTCTCGATCAGTCCATAGCTGGAGTTCCTGGTTGCCAGCTTATCGTTTTCGACCGGTTATGTAGTCTTCAGTATGGAACGAGGGTAGCTGTTGATGAAAGTTTGCAATAGCCTGTTGGAAATGCTTTCAGTGATATGTGCGCCAAATCTCTGAATCATATAGAAGTACATTTGATTTGCCATTATTGCTGAATATTCTGACTTTTTTCACTCTGTTTAGTACATTATATTTCCACATTGATTTTAAGGTAATGAAGGTCTGTCTTCCCCTTTCAATCCTGAACATCAATTCCTTGGAGGCTGCAGAAACGCCTTCCTGCCATTGACTAACATGCAAGAAGCCTAACTCTAGGCTTTGGGATACCGAAAATACTCACATTCCCAACTAATGATATTAGGCGCATTAAGTATTCAACATATCACAAATGATTAAATCTGTGGCCTTTCAGTAAGATTTTCAAGCAGTTAATTCCTGTCTTTTCCGATGCAATTCAAGCGCATTACAGTGAATGACAGCGTGGTGTTTGTAAATTTTACTTGTATGCGTTCACTGACATAGTATATAAGTCTACTTGACATCATACACTATGATGCAGTATTAACAGTTGGATAACACCAAACGCGTGCAACCGAGGTGACGCAACACCAATACCCAGTTCATGGTAAATTGCAATGTAAAACAAAGAAGAGTCAAAGTATATAAACCAAGTTAGCAAGTGACGTGAATACACAAATGTGATTATCAGTAATGTATTGTTCATTATAATAAAAGTTTTTGTATGTCCCAGTGAATGAAAAACAAAACGATATTGTTTTTACTGACGTTTCGCTATTTAATGCTAATAGCTTTATCAAAGTATTCTTAATAATGTATTGTATTCAGAAAGTCATCCAGTTAATAATACTGTATCATTATGTGTTACAACAGATAAATTTATCTAATATGAATCACTGTTATCTGATATACGGTTGGGTTGGAAAAGAGTAAGGAATGGTCAAACCAAAACGTAGAATCAATCCCCGAAGTCTTTGACAGCTGGTTTGAGCCATCTAGGGAGTCACAGACTACCTGGTTGAGGTCTTTGGTGTATCAAGAACCAATGGCTTTAGATTGTTGGTGATATAGCTCAAAATCTTTCTCAGTAGAGCAGATGCATTCAGTCTTTGTGATCTCCCGTATCCATTAAGCGCTTATGCTTTTTGATGTAGTTATCCTCTCCCGCACACTATTACTCATTGTAGTTCTTTTTTATCTCTACTTTGAGTATTATATGGAGTGTGGCAAGTTGAACTGCTGCACTTCCTTGAGAAGTTCTATGTTTAACAACAGTCCTTCGAGCAGTGGCCAACTTCTACTCTCATAATAATTTACATATATGGGCCGGAAATGTAGCACGTCACGGAAAGCATTTCCAACAGGCTGCAGAGTTTTATCAACAGCTGCCTTTGATCCTCAGTGAAGATCAGATGACCAAAAAGAATCAGTAACACTAAACTCTGAGGATGAACTCACCATGAACCTATTGCTCAGCAATATGCCGGAGATAGATTGGACATATACTAAGGAAACAGCCGAGCTGAACCGCTCACCGAGCAAACTCACGAGTGAAACCCTCCGCTGCTTGAGGGTGACATTCGGGAGGTTGTGTGACCAGGAGATAAAACCTGAAGAATAATTGTGTTGCCAGATAAAGGGGACTGTAAAGAATAGGATGAAGTGGGAATGTGCTGTTGAAGCCCTATATTCCATTTGCAATCCAAACAAATAATGATAAAATATAATTAGTTTGTATGAATTTAGTTTGAAATAGATTATTCAGTCTATCCAGACAAAATACAAAACAAAGTATAAAATTCATTTGATCATTTGTGCGTCGGTGGCACAGTGGTTAGGACTCTCGCCGACCATGCACATGGTCCGGGGCTCGAGCCCACGCCGGCGCACACCTGATATCTATGGTCGGCCTGCAAAATTTGGGCTACCGATATCCATGCTGAAAATTCCATACTTGTACCAAAAATACAGTGTGGAATCAAGCTGTAAATCAAAAAATAAATAAATAAAAAAATCCATATACAAAATATCAGTTTTAAAATATATTTTTCTCATAGTACGAACTTACGTGGCATATAATAGACGTCATCAAACCACAAAGACATGCTAGCACAGCAGACTTGGGTTTATCCCAATCAATACCTGGATAAATTTGTCCTATACCGTAGGCACCTTTACCACCAATTAACCAGAAGAAATAGGTGAAAAAAGAATACACCAGACCACCGAGGAATGGATATATGGCGTGTAACATGCGAACTGGTATTGCGCATAGGCATAAATCTATTACGGCTAAGATTCCAGTTAGTGAATGCTTGACACGGCCCTGCCAACTTGCGAACACTCCTAGAAATATAATAAAGATATTTACAAACATTTGAAAAATATATTTATTTAATTTAAAATCATTTAAAAATTTAAATTAATGGAAAATTACTTTTGTAGTTATTTTACTTAACCTTTAAAAAATTTCTTACCGCCAGTGAAATCAAGTCAAAGAAGTATTCAGGGTCTAAGCCACTAGGCTGATGCCTAATGCAAGGTAACTCATATCTGAAATTTCACCGGATGCACTTGAGTGAAGACCATAGTAAAACAAAGATATCCACGGTCAGCAATGATCTTCCTGACTGTGATGGACTGGGTCATGCAGCAGATCATAGGGAGTGAGAAGTGGGCATATGTTCGACGAAGAAAAACACCCCAGAAGATCTGGATTTTGTGGATGACCTATATCTCATATGAAAAAAGAGCCAAAGTAGATAGGACTCCAGGTGAACGTGGAGAAGGCATCCACTACTCTGAAGTCAGTGTGGAAATCTACAACACTTATCGAAAGGAAGAAAACCCGTATTTTAACAAAAAAACACTGAGTCATTCAGTGTTTCTGTACGGTTCAGAGACTTGGCACGCACGTTAACAGAAAAATTTCGAAGAGCCTGCCACAGAATTTCATTAACACCTAAACCTTTCCTTGATGCTGAAGATCAGGTGACCGTTTGGAGAGGATAAATAAGTAACGACGAAATCTGGCAGTGACCCACCGAACAATTCATTGGAGATCAAGTATGCAGAAGGAAATGGAGTGTGACTGGACAGGCACAGAAGAGAAGTTCAATTAACATGACACACCAAGCAAGCCGTCAAGTAGAATTTGAATGGGAAGTGATGAGTTGGATTTTGGTCCCTACAATGACATGGAGAAGATCATATTAAGGGTAAATCAAAGCTTGAGTATGGTGAAGGAACCAGGTGGAAACTATAGCAACGAATTGAGTGGAGTGGAGATACGCTGTTTAAACCTGAATTGTATTGGTTTCACCCAAATTTTTGGAAAATTACACAAGAGAGCTATCTGATATCTCCCCAACAAAATTGTGTACAGATGTTACTCTAAGAAGGATGTTCAGAATCTTAGAAGCATTCTCAAAGACACAAGGTTGGATTTGTTTAATGAATGGTGTCTTGATGGCACTATCTCAAATATTACATGTTATCTCAAATTCTGTCTTGACATCTGTTGCCCCAGAGAAACACTTCTCATCAGATTTGACCGTTTCTCCTCCCTTAACTTAAAACGCTTCGCAGGGAAAATGAAAACTGATATAAAATGAAAGATAACATTGGCGTGAAAAGAATTAACATCTTAATCAAGTCTGAAATGCAGAGGTCGAATTCAATTTATAAACAGAAGTTTATATCCTATAAAAACGCCTCTAACATATGGAAACTTTTCAAAGGAATTATTGGTGGTAAGCAGATGAATAGTATTCCTTATCCATTTGATGTGTGTGCACTGAACAAATCTTCCATACATTCTTCCACAAATGCCAAGCTTTCTAGTGTCACAAGTGTTAATGAAACCTGTTTCCCCGGTTTCAATACAAATGAATTTCTAAAATGACTCCACTTGCTGAACCGTTCTCGTAGCTAAGGTCTAGATGGTATGCCTAGCGTTATTCTTAGAAAGACGTGTAGATATCCTATGTTATTCTCTTACTGACATATCTGATAAATCTTTTTCCAGAGATGTTGTGTCAGCCGTTTGGAAAGATATTAAAACTGTACCTATACCTAAGTCATCTACTGGAATATGTGTCAAATTTAAACCCATTGCTATAAGCTCTCCATTTTTTAAAAACTTTGGAAAAGTTCCTCCTACTTAATCTTGAACCTACACTTAAAGCCTTTATCGATTCCAAACAATTTGCCTACAAACATAGTAGAAGTACTTTAGATGCAGCTTCAGTCTTCCATCATGATATTGTCCCCAGTTTAGGCAAAGGGGCTTAATTTGTTCACTGAACCTTCACAGATTACACATCTGATTTCGACTTAGTACCCAGGGACATTTTGTTAAATAAGCTTGCTGAAACTCAAACTGAGTGTTCAGTTGTCAACTGGCTACATTCTTATTTTTCAGCAAGAAAGCAGTACACTGTATGTCAGGGGAAGTTGTCCACTTCTTTGCTTACTAAGGCTCGTGACCCTCGAGACACTATTCTTTCTCCTTTTCTGTTTCCCCTCTTCTTGCATGACCTGCCTCACTCTGATGAAATGAACTTGGTTAAGTATGCGGATGATCTGTTTCAAGGCCCGTTAACTATCAGTTAGACTGTACTAAGATGAACAACTTTCTATCAGGAGTTAGCAAATAGTCTTCGGCTAATGGTGTTAAACTAAATCCTTCCAAATGTCAGACTGTTAATTTCAGTTTCCTATATAAAAGAAAGACAAATGAAGCTGTTAGTTCCCATGACCGTTGCAAAATTGACGATAGTGAAGTAGAAAGGAAGTCCGATGTTAAGCATCTTTGGCTAATTCTTTCTTCTGGTCTTCTCATGTCTTAGCCATTTCCAAAAAAATTATTCCTTCTGACTTTTTACATTAAATTAAGGCACTCAGGCATAACTCAACCGTTCCTCTTACAGTTTATCAACTCGTGCATCTTACCTGTTCTTTTTTATTGTTCACCCTTATTCTTTCCTGGATTGCTTAGAAAAGACTGTCATACTTCGAAGGACTCTGAAGACTGTGGTATCCCATTAGGCCATATTGTTGACATCGTTAATAATAGACACTTGATTTCATGCAACAAATTTGCTAAAGGGATTTCATCAGACTGTCAGCATCCACTTTATCTGCAGCTTTTACCTTGTATGTCCTCAGTTACAACAAGAGATCATTTCAAAAGACTATGCGCACACGTCTAAGTATAAAAATTCTATGAAACTGTAACTGGTACGTATTATATGTGATTAAAACAGTAAATAAATAATGGTCTCCGCATTTATTCCACCAAGCTTTATTATTATATTTATAATCCTCTCATTTATTTTTTTTTATTTTCTCATACGTGTGTAGACATCATTTAGGCTCTGTAATAATTGTTATTGTTTTGTTTTCCCTTCACTATGCTCTATATCAAGAGAACAATAGATTCAATACTCTATAACATGCTAAAATTTCCACGCTGTATCAACAATATTGTTTGAAACAAACCTGATGTTATTATTGCCATTATTATTATTATTAACATTATTGTCGCTTTTTATTATAATTCTCATTTTATACTTTGCACATTTTTGACTTTATTCCTACTGCAAAAGTGGAGAGATTCCTACCGTTAATTTTATTTATATTTTCAGTAAATTAGATGCACTATTGTGACAGATGCTGAGAATCCCATGTTGTATTATGAGTACTGTTTTTGGAATTAAGCAGATTGTTATTATTAAAAAATTAGGACAAAACTATATATATACATATACTCACAACTAGACAATTTAACCTCTTAAAACACTCTTGATGATGTCTACCGCAAGGTGAAAACTAACTGGAAACGCCTACTCATGATGATAGATGGAATAAGTTAACTAACATTCAATCAAAATGTTTCTCCGAGTGAGTGAACAAAAGCACGACAGTTGGAACATTTACAAATATTATTTCCTTTATTGTTAACAATTTTCAACAACACTAACGATTAACTTATATTTTTTTACGAGTTGATCACGGATTGATATTAGTTAGAGAACCATTGAAAACCAGGGAGTATTGGACAACTGTTGTTTCATCCTAGTTTGGGAATTATCGACAGTACGCACCCAACACCATGGTCCGAACCCATGATCTTCTGGTTACAAGGCAAGCTCGTATACTATTCAGCCACTGGAACCCGATTCATTGGTCAGTGGATGAATTCTAACTTCTACCAGTTCGTGATTTAGCGCGACCCCAACCATTGTCGTTAGTGGGACATCCATCCTCACACGTGACATCTGGATGAACCTCACTGGTCATGACTTCTCACTAGAACTCCAGGAAACTCCATCCTGTAGCAAGTCACTAGCGAGCATCAGATTAATTTTCTATAGTTTGTTTTGTAAGGATTAGTTTTGTTTTTACGAGTTGATCATGGATTGATATCAGATAGAGAACCAGTGGCTGAGTGGTATACCAGCTTCCCTGCCTTGTAACCATAAGGTTCTGTGTTCGAACTGAGGTGGTGGGTGCGTACTGCCGATGATCCCCAGACTAGGATGGAACAGCAGCTGTCCAGTACTCCCTAATTTTCAATGGTTCTCTAGCTCATATCATTCCGTGATCAACTTGTAAAAACAAAACTAACCCTTACAAACCAAACTATAGAAAAATTCTTTTATTTGTTTCTTGATGATATTCGGAATGCATTTTTCTACCAACTGTAATGAGCTATACTTTTACTGACTTGACACTTAATTTCTGTAGAAACAACTGTATAATTATAAAATACTTGTAATACACTGTCTAAAGGTGAATGTGTACTGAAGAAGAGTTACAAACTAGGACGAAACAGCTGTCTAGCACTCTCAGTTTTTCCATTGGTTCTCTAAATAACATCAGATTATGATGAAGTTCTGCAACCGATCAAATCCCTGCAAATGAACACTCGAAAACTTGTGTATAATTCAGCACAGAATTTAGATCAAAGTCAACCAGTTTTAAATAAATCCGTGTGAGTTAGGTTACCGGGACATGAGAAACAAGCTAGATTGACCCTGATAAGTTAAGTAATCCAGAAGAAAGTCCAGTTATTGTAATGCACCCAATAATATGTAATCAAACAACTGGGTAGGATAAAGTTAAAGCATTTGAAAGTAATACAGTTAAATGGAGCGAAATGGATCTAATCACTGAATCTGTGCTTATCGAATCAACACTAATTACAAACACTCGAAGGGTTAGGGTGAAAAATTGCAGTGAGAAATGAAGAAAGTGAAAGTATATGAAGTACGTTAGGAAGTCGTGTTGGTACACCACTGTGATTATGGGCATTAAATTGTGCTTGAAGTGTCATCCGATTA